CTCTCTCTCTCTCTCTCTCTTTATCCTATGTTGTCTAGTGATCAATCACTCCGCACACTCTCCAACTATAAATCTATCTCAAATGTGACACCCGAACAGACAAACAAACAAGCAAACAAAAAACTGATAGTCCTCATGGCGTCGATCTGTCAAATTCGAATATAATGAAAGCACTAGGGGGTCTTGCAAAGGCTGTCTGTGCATGCACGGTGCCTCAGCGTTGTCCAAGTCATTGTTTGTTTTGACACCTGATTTTTTTAGCTTTTTTGCTTTTTCTTTCCTTTTTTTGTGTGCTATTTCAACTTTTTACATTCTCGCAGAGAATAAAAATGTTGTAGATTATCTGATTTTAGTGTGTGTACATGGGATGGGGGTGAAGGGTAGGGGGGGGGGTACTAAATGTTATGCTTGATATCATATATTCTTGAGCTGTATCAATGTATCTTCCTTTCTTGTTGGTTCTTCTCTTTTTCTTTAGTACCGATCATGGTAGCCAGTGAAGCCGTTTTTGGTTTTCCCATGGTTTTCTATCTTTTTTGGGTCTATTCTAATAGACATAAATGGAAATCAGATTGTGAAAGAAAAATGACAGGAAGACAAGAAAAAGTGGGGGAAAAAAGGTTGAGAGAGAAAAATGGACATTTATTTTAAGCGCACTGCCAGAATCGTCGATGTTCAAACACAGAACGTCGACTTTCCTCTGCGAGTACTGCACTACACCCAGTGAGAAGGAGGGAAGTGGGGAAAGATAGGGGGGGGAGGGGGGGAGGAGGGAATGTATCCCAGAGTCTCGTAGACCGATCTATCTTTTCCGGACCCGTGACAGATCTCTCACGATGATATCAAAACGAAAACTGGAACAGACCAAAGTTTTTTCAGGCAAACCTAAACAAAACTGTGTCAATCACTGTGTGAGTCATGCGGAGATAGACCTGACAAACTAGTGAAGTTGGTTTTAGCGAACATTATAGCTGTCACATAGGGGCGCAAGACGAATTAGTATTGCACGGTTCTACCTCTGTGAAGAAGAATTAGCGTTGTCAGTGTTGTGTAGTAGTGACGCACGGCCGGTAGTCCAGTGATGTCCATGCAGTGTTATGGTGGAAATGGCGTTTGTTGGAATCCTTATAGAGGCGTTCTGGAACTCGGTTTGGTTGGGAGAGCTTTAAAGGCTCTCCTTTCAAGGGTTTTTGTCGATGTGTTGTGGACAGTGAAAATAAGAGAAGCCTACCGCACCAAATACAGCACAAAATGGTAGCGCCTCTCTTATTTTTATTGTCCACAACTCACTGACAAAACTTTCGGTCAGTCGTTTTGTCATAGTGCGGTCCTAGGCTAAAATGACGACCAATCCTTGTTGAGAGATTAGATAAACTCGACTCACGCATGTTTCTAATTTAAAAAAAAAATAAAA